CACAGAGTTAATGATCATATAAAGGAAAAACTGCGCTTGATTCAGTTGTGGTGCACTGTCAGGGTTGTGGTGCACTGCGACAAGCAGGCCACTGTAAAGAGTGCAGAAACAAACTACACTTATCTAGAAGTAGGGTTACTTCAGAGACGGAATGTCTTGAGGGTTCTAGGAAACATATACATACATACATCATCTAAACCGCTTATCCTTCTGGGTCGCGGTGGGGTGCTGGAGCCTATCCCAGCTGTCATTGGGCGGAAGGCAGGATACACCCTGGACAGGTCGCCAGTCCATCGCAGGGCTTCTAGGAAACAGTTCTAATAAAATCTTAGAAACTTGTCTTACGACCATTTTCAATGGTAATGATTGGTTCTTATGATAAGAACCGAAAATAATCATATATATACATCATAAGAACCAAAAAGGTTCTGCTCTTACGATGTCTTTTAAGCTTTTGACAACAGAAGAACCGTTTTTGGTGCTATATAGAACCATATACAACACATTCTCCATCAATCTGAAGAACCATTTCACCATGCAGATGCATGCGGTTCTTCGGGTGTTTACTGTTCTATAAATGGTCTTTAAAAAGATGGTTCTTCAGGGGGTTCTGTAGTAAAGAAAATGGTTCATGAACACTCATAGAACCCTTTGCACGATTAAAGGGTTCTTTGCATGGTGAGATGGTTCTTCAGATTGAGGGAGAACGTGTTGTAGATGGTTTAATGTAGAACCTTGAAAAGGGTTCTTCTATTGTAAGAAGCTTGATATCATAACAATGGAAGAAGCCTTTTGGTGCTAGATGGAACCCTTTTCAAAGAGTTTCTAGATACACATTCTCCATCAATCTGAAGAACCCTTTCATGATGCAAAGAACCCTTTAAATCATGCATGTTCTGTGAGTGCTCATGGTTCTATATACAACCAGGTTCTTTACTAAAGAACCCTTGAAGAGCTTACTTTACTCACTTCAAAGCACAGTGTCCGTAAACTTTTGGCCGGCGTTCTGGGTCATTTAAGTTACGGTGTCTGTCAGTCGGCTGGTGAAAGGAACTGCAGTGAAAATGATCTGAGTGGACAGGAGGAGGGAGGAACGGGTCAGCAGTGACTTTCAGCTTCCAGCAGAAGAGCTGACACTTTTAGACACGTAATCACACTGAGAACTGCAGAGAACGCTCGAGCCTTGGAGCCCTGGAGCCCCCCAAACACCCCCCAACCCCCCATCTTTGTGCTGACTGTGCACTCTGCACTGTGAGTTTGAATATACTGTACTGTGTAAAATGTTTTGAAGCCATTTGTCTCAGCTGTAAGAGTGTTTCGAGTGTAAGAGTGAACGCCAGATATCTGATGTCTTGCTGCTGTCCAGCTGTTGCATAGATTTGTTAGATTCCACCAGCAGCTGCTGATTTAATTTAATGAAAGATTGATTAGAAAAACTATGTATTAGACACAAATAATGCTGGGCTTCCTTGAGGAGAGGTCTTAAAAATTCGTATCCCTCTGGCGTCTGAGAACGTTTACTCGATTTTTCCATATCTTCTTAAACTGTCCTTTAAAAGCTTTTACATATAACATGATCCTCATATGTTTCATATCAAAATGCTCCGTTATCTTCATCACTACTTTCCAAAACAACTGTAAACTCTCTGCACACCATTTCACATGAGTCTCCGATGTGGACTGAATGAAGAATGAAGGGTTTCCGGCGTGACGGTCAGTCCTTAGTGATTTCCTGAGTGTCCATTGGTTAGTTTCACACAGAATGTAGACGGACACACGAATCCACCAGTTCCACGCGGTGAGAGGCAGATGACGTATATCTCAGCCCCTCTTCATAGGCTCATAACTCCGGATGTGAGTCTCGTATGATCTCGAGATAAGATGGAATGGAAAGGGCGACTCTACAGATTCAGGAACTGAACCAGATTTTTGATCATCACAAAGATACAGAAACAGATATAGAAACATTGAATTTGAGACGCAGGCCATATTTGTGGACCCCAGAGGGTTAAAAATAGTGGTATCTATGGGGGATCCTTGGGACGATGCCATAGAAGAACAACTTTTGGTTCCCTAAAGAATCCTTTAGTTTCTCTAACACTCTTAAAGGGCCTTTATAAGGGAAAACTGAATTTCCCCCCTTTTTGAAATGAGTTTGGTGTAGTATGTAAACATTGTTAGAGTTTAAAGCAGACCTTTCAGTCTTCAGTCCTCAAATGGAAACTGTTGTGATTTTGTGATGTCACGGAAACCAACACATTTACACATATCGGCCCATTCAGCCCCCAGCAGCTCAGCTCCGCCCGTTTGCACTGAAGTTATAAGGAGTGTTACAACCTGTATTAGTTTTGAATAAGACACAGTACAGGGCAGCCAGTCAGAACAGAGCTCATTTACATATCTCAGTCTTAGGCTGGGAGTACGCCACATGACTTTTTGTCTGATTTCAAGCTCGATTTGCCCTTTGTGACAAATGTTCACAATCTGAACTGATTTTCCAGGTCAGGAGCTCAATCAGAAGCGACTGACGATGCGAATGATCTGTAGTGTGAGAGGAGAAACGAGTGAATCTTTAGCCCTTCGATCGAACTCTGAAGTGATCAGAGGCCCTCCAATATTATTAAACATGTTTGATATTTACACCTCAAAATATTCACGAGTCCTGCAGTGTGAGAAGGTCAGAGATTTACTCAACGAGCAATTCAAACAGCCAATCAGAGAGCAGAAGAGCAGAGAAACCGGTGAAGAGACATGCATGAACAGTGGAGGCAGAGGAGCTGCGTGTAAAACACAGGCAGATAAAAGCTGATATCATGTTTATATGTTGATCCAGTCATCAGGTCACTCTTTTTACAGTTCCAGCTCAGCTGCCAGTTTGTATTGAAATATTTCTCCAGCTCTCAGAGTGATATCAGCGTTTCTCACTACATATTAATCCCCGGCATAAAAGCACAAACAGGTCCAGTGAGTTTAGCTTTGTTTGTGTCGTGTGATCTGAGGAGATCTGGGAGTTTGAGTTCTTATGTGTAGCCCAAACTCGTTATACTATATGTGTTATTCTCTCTCTTTGCCTCGTCGTCTAGTCCGAGCCCCCTCACAACAACAAGACAAGACAAGCAATTCTGTGACAAACTGACGTTACCTTTGTGATGCTCTCCGTTTTAGAGATGTGTTGAGATTTGAAAAGTCATGTAGTGAACGCCTGGCCTTACAGGCACAGTAACAAAAACAACATTTTTAACTGTAAGGGATAAAGAGAGACTGGCAAAAATGAATTATGACTGTTTTTGGAGCATAAAAATACACAGATGTTATAAATGGACCTCATGGGGAAGATGTCATTTAGGGCTGTGTTCTCTGTAGAGGATGTTTCACCTTATTTTATCAACAAAGCATGTAATTTGCCTGTGTATGAGAGGGAGGGCCTGTTTTTAAAACAGAAGGGTGAAATTTACATGACCAAAAATCTGCACATGGGGGCGATCGGACGATGCCTTTATAGACACGAGGGCTGCTGTAGCTCGTGTTTAAAACAAAGCAGTTGTGCTTCTTAGGGGGCGGGTTAAAGCGTTTGATTGACAAGTAGGTAAACGCCAACACAGCGATTTGAGAGAACAGGAAAGACTAAGATGATCAATGAATATTCAAAAACTCATAACACATATAATAATAAATAGAAAACAGAGTGTGGTAATCTTTGTGTGCTGCTCAGCTCCACATGTTGAAAAACAATTAAAATGTCCAAAAGTTTGTAGACACCTCCTCATCCAGCGTTTGGTCTGAAGTGAAGGGTGTTAATAGGGAGTTCGTCACACTTTGCTGCAGTAAAAGCCTCTGCTCTTCTGGGAAGGCTTTACTCTAGATGGTGGAACATTGCTGTGAGGATTTGATTGAGCATTAGTGAGGTCAGGTGCTGATTCTGAATGATCAGTTCTGGATCACTCCAACTCATCCCAAAGGTATTGGATGGAGCTCATCACTCCAGAGAACACAGTTGCACAGCTCCACAGCCCAATGCTGGTGGGCTTTATACACCTGTAGCCTATGCTCTGCATTGAGCATGGAGACCTTAAGCTCATGTGTGACTATTTCAGAGAGTCCCATTCTATTGGTCATTGCTTTTCTATGAGATTATGCAAGCTGCTTGTGTGCAAGTAGCTGAATTCACTCATTAGAAAGGTTGTCTGGATGCTTTTAGACATGAAGTGTAGTTTAACGCGTTGTGTGCTATAATTTGTCTTTAGGTTGAAAATGAATTTATGTAAAACTTATCTGACGATGCAGCAAACGCTACGAAAAGAACACATTTGTGGGCGGAGAATGGATATGACAACTGACCTAAATTGAATCACCATGACGAATTGTCACTGAGTGTGTTTACATGCACTTATTAATCTGATAACTACAGAAAATCTGCTTTACAACCAGCCAGTAAACTCACAGAAGAAGACGTGACGTAAACGTAACGTAAATCTCAAATTTCATGACGCTGCTTTTTTAAAAACATCACTCCACTTTACCTGAAAATATGAACATGCATAATCTATAAGATGAAGAATATTTAAATCCTTCATTTCGTCAAGCGTGTAGTTGGTTTCAGCATCACTCCAACAATGTTTTGCTGCATCTTGCGGCAACACTGCTCGCTACAGCCGGTACATCCGCCTGTTTCCACAGACTGAGAAATCCGAAAGAAATCAGAGTAAGAGTTTGCAGCACTGAGGAATCTGATTACTGAGCTAAAATCCAGTCTCTTTATCGGACTTCTAGACCTTACTCTGATCTAAGAAATCGGAGTATGGTGTTTACATGCCCGTTAATCAGATAACTGCAGAAATCCAATTCTAATCGGATTATTGAGTGCATGTAAACACACTCATTGACTGACTCGGTCAATTTTGTGACATTTGTAGAGACAGATTTCATTAAGAGCTTGAACTCTTGGCTATGTTTGTATGAGGAGGACAGCATGATTATTTGTGTGTGGTCTCTGTTCACAGTGGTTTCTCGGACAACCTGATCCAGGACATCATCTACAGCTACCTGGTGCTGCCCAACAGAATCACTATACCACTGGTGGGCGACGTGGAGCTCTCACAGCTCCGCTTCCCCATGCCTAAGGTGAACCACATAGACATGCTTGTTTTTATACCTTAACAGAATGTGGAGTCATACATACAACAGGTCAAACAGGTATATTATACACTCACTGAGCACTTTATTAGATACACTAACCTTGTTTCTACACTCACTGTCCATTTTATCAGCTCCACTGACCATATAGGAGCACTTTGTGGTTCTACAGTTACAGACTGTAGTCCATCTGTTTCTCTGCATACTTTGTTACCCTGTTCTTCAGTGGTCAGGACCCCCACAGAGCAGGTATTATTAGGGTGGTGGATCATTCTCAGCACTGCAGTAACACTGACGTGGTGTGTTAGTGTGTGTTGTGCTGGTACGAGTGGGTCAGACACAGCAGTGCTGCTGGAGTTTTAAACACTGTGTCCACTCACTGTCCACTCTATTAGACACTCCTACCTTGTCAGTCCACCTTGTAGATGTAAAGTCAGAGACGATAGCTCATCTGCTGCTGCACAGTTTGTGTTGGTCATCCTCTAGTACTTCATCAGTGGTCACAGGACGCTGCCCACAGGATGCTGTTGGCTGGTGTCAAGCCAACCCAGGAGTAGCGGGCCTTCTCCAGAGTGCTGAGGAGCCAGGAGATGCGTTTCAGCACCAGTGTTGTGGACAGCGAGGTCAACGTGGCCAGAAGGTGGACGGACTCTCATTTAGCTCGGCTGGGAGCTACTAATGAGACCCCAGCTGCACCTTGTCCACACTCTGTACCTACCCTTTAAAAAGAGAGTGAGGAGGCAGAAAGGGCGAGTTGGGTCAAGCTACCAGTTACTGTTCTCATTGTGTTCCTGTTTCGTTTTCCTACAAGTAGACGACGCCAGACCGGGCGGGAATTTCGCCGTGTGCCTACGGCTGAGCCCTGGGTTTCCTGCCCGCCTGTGCGTTTTTTTTTTTCTCCTTTTGTTTCACTTGGGTTTTCTTTTGTGTCAATAAACGGCCCTCTGTTGGGTGTGCCAAGCGTCGAAATCATCTCTTTCTCCTCTGTGTGGCCCCAGGAGTCTTTCCGACTCACACTGGACATTTTTGGTTCTCAGTCCAGCAGCACTGCTGTGTCTGATCCACTCAGACCAGCACAACACACACTAACACACCACCACCACGTCAGTGTTACTGCAGTGCTGAGAATGATCCACCACCCAAATAGTACCTGCTCTGTGAGGGTCCATGGGGGTCCTGACCACTGAAGAACAGGGTAAAAGGGGGCTAACAAAGTATCAGAGAAACAGATGGACTACAGTCTGTAACTGTAGAACTACAAAGTGCACCTATATAGTAAGTGGAGCTGATAAAATGGACAATGAGCGAAGAAACAAGGAGGTGGTCATAATGAGTGTAGAAACAAGGATGATGGTGTATGTAATTATATAAATGCATATATAAAAGTACCTTTATATAATAATAATGTCCATCATACACATGTATGAATTTTTATTATCTGTAATTATAGGTAAGAGTTTTCTGTGTGTTTTCAGGGTGAACTAAGTGTGTATACTTACTCTGTCTCTCTCTCTCTGTATTATTAGGGCGTATTGAGGATTCACTTTCTCGAGGCTCAGGATCTGGAGGGGAAGGATAAGTTCCTCGGCGGTCTGATTAAAGGAAAATCTGACCCATACGGAGTCCTGCATGTGGCCAACCAGCTCTTCCAGAGCAAAACCATCAAGGAATGTCTGAACCCAAAGTGGAACGAGGTGTTTGAGGTGAGTTCATACAGTGGAGATTATTAGTAAATGACCTCTCCATGTTCCTCCCGCAAGGGCGTTCTTTTATATCTACTGTTGGACGTCCTTACAGAACGCTGGCAATAATCCACTCCAATCTGATGCGAAACTTTTAGCAAAACACTACAGCACTGTGCAAAAGTCAGAGACAACCTGTGTTGACTTTAAGTCTAAACAGCCGTTTAGCACAGGTTATTCATTTTTCAGGAGATGTTTCTGAAGAGATTAGATATACGATAATCCACTTGCGTAAGGAAGTAGAGCATCAAATGAAAATAAGTGAAAAGCTGGAGTTCAAAAACTGATTAAAAGCTAGAGAGAAAATGGGCCTCCTAACAACCACCTGGAAGACCTGGTAGACCCCAAAACTGCCCCCACCAGATAAACAGCGCTTAAAGCTTTCATCTCTGAGAGAGAGGAGAAAATCAAGCTGCTCCAGATCTGAAAACATCCACAGGTGTTTCTGTCCATCCTTCCACTGTGAGAAGATGACTCAGCGCTGTGGGTCTGAAAGGATGTGTAGCTGATCAAGAAGAACCTCACTGAGAAAAGGAGACGGACACACCAAACAAAGAAGCTGAACAATGGACTGACCACCCCAGAGTCCAGACCTCAACACCACTGAATGTGTTTGATTACTTCAGAAAATCAACCAACTTCTAAGACTGAACTCTGGAGGTGTGTCTGCAGAATTACTTGAGGAACTGAAAGTGAGTCTCCTGAAGAGAACGGAAGCTGTTAAGAAGGTACAGAGTGACTCACTGACACTCAAACAGCCGATATTAGATTTAGTTGTTGAGGCTTTTGTATAACTTTCTGGTAAACATTTGTTTCCTACTTTGTTCTGACACAAATATCTTGTACTTAATGGCACTTTTGACTGGAAACTGAACAAATGAAGGCTGGTCTCTGACTGCTGCGCAGAACTGTGGCATTTCGCTCTAAATGACAGGCGTCAGTTCTGTCATTTAAAGCCCAAACAGGTTATTTACACACATTTTCATGTTTTAGCATGATTTATACACTGGGTGTGGCTGTGTGTTCAGGCAATGGTGTATGAGCATCCTGGACAGCATCTGGAGATCGAGCTGTTTGATGAAGATCCAGACAAAGACGACTTCTTGGGCAGGTACCACCATCCTGATGACCGCCCCCCCCCCACCTGTCACACTCTATTTCTGTGCATTTGTGTATACCTTGAGAGTTTTCTATTATATGCTATGCTTGACTTTGCTTATAATAGAGCCCATCTTCATGTTTATGTAAGAATTACGTAAGAATTTAGTAAATGATTTTATATTATTACTGTGTTCATCATATGATCATATGATTTGTTGTGGTATTTGTGAACATCCCTCTTGTTTTGAGGACTGGGTATATAATAAGTAAAGGAAACGCTGCCAGTATGTGCATTTGCTGATTGAGAGAGTAACTCTGACTGAGACTCAGTGCTGAAAGCTGATTGCAGAACTACAGTTTTAAGGGCCTGTTAAAGGTTTAAATCAGAGATGTGAGACTCCAGGGTTTATATGTAAGTATCTTGTCTCATTAAAGGGATCGTTTGGCCAAAAATCAGATTCAGAGTTTATCTCCTTCTTTATGTTAATGGGGGATTAATTTCGTCACTAAAACCTGAAAACTCCATATGGAATATCTGTTTGTTGATTTAGGTGGGCTTATTAGGGGCTTTTCCTTTTTCGCTCTTTACTAAATGAGCAGTCTGACTTTACCGACTTCAGTTCTAACCTCAACAAACTAATTGAAAAATCTGTCTATAGGTTCATTCAGTAGCCTTAATCATTACATGTGTAAATGGTGTGTAAGTGTTTTATATATGTATAAATGTATAAGTTAATTACACACACCTAATTTGTAAGTGGATAAATTCATTATGTAGTCTACAATAATAATAAATGAAGGGAGGTCTCTGACTTTAGCACTGTACTGTAAGTACACTGTTAAAAATATGGTGCTTCAACAGTTGTAAAGTAAGGAAAATGGTTCTATATAGAACCATGAACACTCAAAGAACCCTTTGCATGATTAAAGGGTTCTTTGCATCATGAAAGGGTTCTTGCAAGAAATGAGCAAGAATATGCTATAGACAGTTCTATATAGAACCTTTTGGAAAAGGGTTCTATATAGCACCCAAAAGATTCTTCTATTGTACAACCTTGTCATTGTAACAATAGAAGAACCCTTTGGGTGCTATATAGAACCATCTACATCAATCTGAAGAACATTTCATAATGCAGAGAACCCTTTAATCATGCAAAGGGTTCTTTGAGTGTTCATGGTTCTGTGTAGAACCATTTTCTTTAGTAAAGAACCCTTGAAACACTGTATATTACTGTATATTAAGTAGGGCTAATTGGAAAGTGTACTCTTTAGGCCTAATTAATGTTTGTATTAGTGTGTCGAATATGATTAATTGATTAATGTCTATCAGATAATTAATAAATGTGGTTGTAACGAGCGTGTGGTCTTGTGTTCCAGTCTGATGATTGACCTGACAGAGCTTCATAAGGAGCTGAAGGTTGACGAGGTAGGCCTCATTACTGCTGCGCTTCACTTTCTACCTCACGTCCCTAGCAACGGTTGCTAACGGTTCCAGCTGGACCCTCACCCACTCATCGGGGAGTTCTGCAGACGAGATCTCTCGGAGATTTCTCTGTGGGATTCGGAAGTGGCACATTTGTGAACTGCATAACTGAATAATTCATGTCGTATTAGAACTCAACACAAGTCATTAGTGTAGTTATTACGTAGTGTGAAGCAAAAACGTTCATTATTATTTTCCAATTTGACTCTTAATTCCAGCATCAGCTTCAAATAAAGCCACATTTATCACCCCTTAAAATTGTCAGCTTATTACATACTAAGGCTTATTATTCAGTAACTACAGGGACTTCAGTGCAAACGGGATGAGCTTTTCTTAGGTTATAGAAGTGTGTAATAACACTTTGGGCCCACTTTGGGTTCTGGGTGTTTAAAGGGTTAACGCCTTAATTGGCCAAAAGTTTAATTACATCCTTCAGTACCACTTTCGAATAAGATCACCCTTATAAAGCATTTATGCATGATTTAATATTAGTTTGTTAATGGTTATAAGTTAGGTCATAAACACTTTAAATACCATTAATAAGCAGTTATAACACATTACTAATGATGTGAGAAGACAAAATATGACCAGTAAACATCAAAATCTGAGGTTTAACAGTATAAATGAATGTGAGTTGACCATTAAGCAAACAGGTCACTGTTCCCTCTTTTATTTATGTGTTTTACCTGCTCATTAATTTTTTTAAGGTCTTTATGACCAAATTAATAATCACTAATAAACTAATTCTCAACCATTCATAAACACTTTATAAGGGTAAACTTGTTTTAAAGTGGTACCCACACTATAACTTAAGAATAGCTCAGCCAGTTTGCATTGAAATCCCTGCAGTTACTGAATAATAAGCCTTAGTATGTAATCAGCCTGGGACTTTAAGGGGTTAATAACACAGTGGGGCATATTAGTGTATTAGCTCAAATATTTCAGATCAAGTTTGTCAATTAGGTTAATTAATTATGTGCTCTCTTGATTTATTTCTGCATCTGCTGCTATTTTTGCTACGTCACATTTGTTTTTATTTTGTATGGAAACACAAACAGTACTGTGCAAAAGTCTTCGTCAGCCAAAAAAATCTCCTCATTAAGTCTGTTTCTGCCACTCACCGTATAGCTTTTTAATGAAAGAGGGGTGTGAGATTCTTAAAATATTTTGTGTAGTTAATTATATTTATCCTATAGTCTCAAATTCGGCCCTAAAGAAAGTGTTTTCCATTTAAAAAGCAATGCATGCAATGCGGTGTTTATATAAGCAGCCCAGTGTTTGTGTTACTGATATTACTGATATTCATTTTTCCTTTATTTTGCCAGGAAGTCTCGTTGAGATCAAAGAATCTCTTTCAAAAGAGACACCTGGGTGCCATTAACAGACATTCTCGGATGGTCTAAGACTTTTGCACGGTTCTGTAAATGTGTGTGAGTGAGACTGAGAGTGTGTTATGTGGGTTATTGCAGTGGTTTGATCTGGAGGAGGTCTCCAGTGGGAAGCTGCATCTGAGGCTGGAGTGGCTCTCTCTGCACTCAGACGCTGAGAAACTAGATCAGGTACATTCACACCAATGCAGTTCACACACACAAACATCGGCACCAGCGGCCGTTTTACAGAAACGTCTTAAGTCTGTAATCCTATCTGTTTAGTCACCATGACGACTTCAGTTAGGACTGAATTTAGGACAGAAGATATTACTATTAAGAACAGTTCTTAAGTTCATCATCTCATCATTAACTCCAGATATGAAAACAGTATCACACAAATATCCTAACTAGACTAAACCTCCTAAATACTGTCCTAACTTTAGGATGAACCCCAGAAGTGTCTTAACTTTTGTTTAACCGTATGTTTCTATCGTTTTATGCTGTATCAGGCAGCACAGTTCACTATAACTAGCATAATGGCGCTTTGACTTATGAGGGTTTTTAACAGCGTTTTAAAGATCTCAGACTCTGCAGACTCGATCTCCACCATCCCTCTGATTACCTTGGTGTGTTAATGTTGATGATGAAATATTACAGTGATGGTGGTGAATAATGAGGAGACAGAGCTGACGTGTTTATTAGGGGGAATAACTTTAGCACGCTCAGCTAAAGTGTTTGGGAAATGGAGACTGAAACTGCAGAGTGGCGATGCTCTGATAAACAGCAGGGGGCGCTTACACAAGGTTATCACACTTTTTTTTGTTTGACCTTTTTTTACATCAGTAACAGTAGCGACAGTTAGCTATCTGGCTAACTAACTTGATTATTTTGATTACGTGTTTACCGTTTTCATTGGTTGCTAGGTAACAGTTGATTGAAGACAGTTGATTGTTGGCTTCGATCGAGTATGTTAATATTTCCTAACTTGACGTGAGATGCTGTAAGATTAGATAAGATTCCTAAATTAAGATCAGATTTGCTTCTGTAATACGAATTTGTGAAAATCTTATCTTGACCTGTTTTAATTTAAGACAAAAAGAGAGGAAGTTTCTGCAAAATGTCCCAGAAGGACAGCTGTCTGGGTTAAACATAGCATTAAAAACACAGCCAATTATATTTGACCTATAACACATACAATGATGTCATTTTCTGTGCTGATAGAAATCATATCCAAAGGTAAAGTTCAGTGAATTCGTCATTAAAGAGGACCTATTATGTTCATTTTCATTTCTTTGTTCACCCTCTGCCTGAAACGCTCTGTGTGCTCTGATTGGCCAGACCTCCCACTCTGTTCTGATTGGTAGACCTCCAGAGCAGTACCGCCCCTCACGTTCCGCCCCTGTCCTGCAGTGAGCAGACAGACCCTTCTCTCCTGAGCAGCTGTAAACTCCGCTGTGGCTGTTTCTCCAGCAGCGTCGGTTCTGCCGGATCAGTTTGATCCAGAGTGGATCCTGAAAGTCCGGTCAGTGTCTTCACCACACGCTACAGCACTGAACACACGCTTCCTCCTCCAGGAGCTGCTGTGCTCTGTGTGAGGGCGTGCCGAGTGCTGAGCTCGCCGGTAGGCGGGCAGTAAGGACTGTGTTATGAGATGATGTCATCCTGTAACAAATTCCAACGAGGCATTTCAGGCAGCTGAGAAAAGTGGTTTCTGTGGGAGAGAGTTTCTCCTGGAAAAGCAAAATAGGTCCCCTTTAACAAGTCTTGCATATTTAAAAAGGAATTCTATCACTTTTTAAAACATTTCTTAGTGGTTGAGATGTAAACAGAGTCATTCAGAGTGGTTTGGTACGAAATGCTGTTCTAGAGAAACGTAATGAGTCAGACTTGTTCACAGTGGTGGTGATAGGAACCAGACGTCCTCCTCTAAAACCTCCCTCACAGAGAGTTACTACATGAAGTGTTTATGAATTCACTGATGTCTGAGACACTGTTTCACAATAGTTTTGAGAAGATTTTGGCCAAAAATGTCTTTGCTGTTGATGGCGTAGAGGTACATGCAGGGTGTTGTGAGGCAAAATAGTCCCCAAAGAAACCTTTTTAAACTAGCAACATGGCCAGAATGAAAGGTTACACCGATTCACCACAGTTACTGCCACAAAAGTATTTTCTGTCTAATGCATAGAAATGGTCCATAAATGATTAAACAGACAGATTATAAATACCCCCAGTGCAGCCACTCTGACCCAGAGCGCTCACTCACTATCAGACATCAACCCAAAACGTGCACTCGGTGAGTTACAGGTCACACTGTGAGTCGTCTGTATCTGGAGCCACTGATCAGGTCACGTTGACATGCACCTGTGGATGGAGTGATGAGCTAAACGAAGGACAGATCACTCACGAGCGGTCATTTTACTCAGTACTGTAATATTTTGGTTTAACAGTCACTCTCTCTCTCTCTCTTCTCTCTCTCCCTTTCTCTGCCTGTCTGCCTCTCTCTTTTCACCTTCCTCTTTTTCTGTCTTTTCCTCCCTCTTTCTCTCATTTCTACTCTGTCTCCTTTTCTGTCTTTCTCCTCTCTCTTTCTCTCTCTTGTTTCTCCTCTTTCTCTTTTCTCTCTCTTTACCTCTTTACCTCTTTCCCGCTCTCTCTCTATCTTTTTTTGTCTCTCTTCCCTCTTTTTACTCTCTCTCTACTCTATGCTCTCTCTATCTCTCTCTTCTCTCTCTCTGTTACTCTCTCTCTCTCTCTCTCTCCTCTCTACGCTCTTTCTCTCTCTGTATCTTTTTCTCTGTCTTCCTCTCCCCTCTCTCTTTCTACTCTATGCCCTATCTCTCTCTCTCTCTCTCTCTCGTTCTCTCTCTGTATCTCTCTTTTCATCTCTCTCACTCTCTGTCTTTTCTCTCTCTAACTCTCTTCCTCTCTCTCTCTCTCTCTCTCTCTCTCTCCCTCTCTCTCTCTCTCTCTCTCTCTCTCTCTCTCTCTCTCAGGCTCTGAGGAGTATGAGGAATAATGACAGTCTGTCTTCTGCTCTGCTGGTTGTTCATCTGGACTCAGCCCGGAATCTCCCGGTAGGATCTGCAGTTCAGTCTGTCTGTCACTCTCTCGCTCTCAGAGGAGGAACATTCATTTACACATACCGACTGTTTGTGTTGTGACCTTTCAGCCCTCTGACCCTCTGTGACCTCTGAACACATCATCAGTGGGTGACCTTCTTTCTGAGCTCGTCACCTGTCCGTTATGATAACATTCCAGCTAAGAGGGATTAAAGATCAATTCAGGAGATTTAAGTCACATCTTAAATCTCCCGTCTCAGCTTTAAAGTCGGAAATCAGAACACCTTGTTTTTCCTTAACGTGATGTATTTCAGACTGAAACTCTGGTGGTAAATAACTGTGCAGGACATGATTTGATTCTTTTGATTGAATTGTGAAAAACGGCTTTGTGGAACAAACACTGAGTCAGACTCAGACGGTCAGCAGGTTCTGTCTGTTTTACAGAAAAGCCAAAGGAAAAAATATAAACTACCAGATTTTGTCAAAACATTAAATACTACAATATTTTGATGTGTTTCTGAAACACGATTCATTATTTATTGCTTGATTTTAACCCTCTCAGGTTTATGGTTCTGTATGCGACATCAAAGGAAAGAATAGATATTTCGTGAATGCTCCCTGCTAGAGACGTACTTTCACCTCTGATTGGTCAACAGACTCGACTCAGGGCGTCAGTGCACGGCTAACAGTCCTCCTAACAGCAATAACTCTTTCCAACATGGAGAAATGGATAAATAATCACAGAAGACATTCAGTGTTGAATTTATCTTATCATTATGGATTAATTTTACAAAACCTCCAAAAAGAAACTGCAGTTCAAAGCTTCTGAAAGGGATGCAATCATGTCCTTTGATGTTGCATACGGCAGTGTCAACCTGAGAGGGTTAATATGTATTTTTTTACTGTATAAGAAATAGATGAGGTGAAGCAGTGACTGTGTTTGCGCTGATGATTGGTCACGTCGAGGGAAAAGAGGGAAAACATGCTAAGATTTCATTGGTTGGCATTTAGAGGAGGGCAGACATCACTACACTTCAATCAAAGCTTACAGAGAAACAAAGATTTTGTCTTTTGAATGATAAGACAAGTGTTGAGGTGTTTAAAAACTCCAGCAGCACTGCTGTGTCTGATCCACTCGCACCAGCGCAACACACACTAACACACCACCACCACGTCAGTGTTACTGCAGTGCTGAGAATGATCCACAACCCAAATAGTACCTGCTCTGTGAGGGTCCATGGGGGTCCTGACCACTGAAGAACAGGGTAAAAGGGGGCTAACAAAGTATGCAGAGAAACAGATGGACTACAGTCTGTAACTGTAGAACTACAAAGTGCACCTATATAGTAAGTGGAGCTGATAAAATGGACAATGAGCATAGAAACAAACAGAACTGTGACATTACTTTATTTTGACAGGTTCTGTAGATAGTAGTGCTGTCTAGGAAGACTGTATAAAGTGTAGCTAGCCTAGCCTGATCCAGGAAGACCACCTCACTGACCTGCTCTCCTCTGAATCCCCCTGAAGAGCGTGTTCGAGGGCAGTTTCGGCTGTGGGAACGCGAGAGAGCGGAGGGCGTCCGGGCTGGTCTTTAGTGAAAACTCTTCTTCTCTCTGTAGGAGTCTGTTTGTGAGTCCGAGAGCTCCCTGCATCCGGGTGTTGGAGCGCTAATGTTAGCCGCTCAGCTAACAGTCTGACTGGGTTTACAAAACGGTGTCTTAACAAAGTTCAACTTTAACAGAAACTGATGGGCTTTAATCCCAAGAGCATGCGGATGGTGTCAGTACATGTTTCAGCATGTCTGCGACTGATATCGTTATTTTACAGTACATATTAATCACAACAAATCCCTTATTATATTAATAAACCCCTTATATTAATAAGAGGAGTAAAAGATGAAATAAACTCAAATGACACACCTACAACTGAATAAATACACTGGATTACATCACAGCTGTCAGAACGTCTTAAAGATTAATAGATTTCTCCATAGATAGAGAGACAGACAGACAGACAGATAAACAGACAGACAGATAGAGAGACAGACAGACAGACAGACAGATAGATGGATGGATAGATAGATAGATAGATAGATAGATAGACAGACAGACAGACAGATAAATAGACAGACAGATTGATAGATAGACAGACAGACAGATAAATAGACAGACAGATTGATGGACAGATAGACAGACAAACAGGCAGGCAGACAGACAGACAGATAGATAGACAGAGACAGATTGATGGACAGATAGACAGACAGATAGACAGATAGATAGATAGATAGATAGATAGACAGACAGATAGATAGATAGACAGACAGACAGACAGATAGATAGATAGATGGATAGATAGATAGACAGACTGAAGAATACACTAAGCAGTCGTGTACATAGAAATAGGACCCTATAAAAAGCTAATGTACAGTATACATTCAGTGTTGTGTGTACGTTGTATTTATAGAATCGTGTTTATATGTACGCTGCACTCTTCTCTGTACTTCTTTAATATGTTCTGAACTGTTTTCCTCCTCCTCTTTTCATTTCTGTAACATTCTGAGTTATGACTGATGAAAGCTGGTGTAGCTGACCGTGTCCGAAACGTCTCCCACTCTGTAGTCTCTGCTCTGTAATGAAGGTCTGAAGGTTAATAGTGAGACGGCTAATGAACAGTGAACAGTGTTCAGGCTAAATGAAGGCTGTTAGCTCAGAGAAACGTTGGTGACATTTCGCTCGAGTAGTGAAGCCTCTGGAATATGTTCACTGCTCCTTCCTTCAGTTCTGCTCATTCATCATGGGATGAGGAAGTGTGCTTCCAGTGTTCTCTCATCTCCACGTCTCCGACTAGTGTTTCCTGACGAGTGTTCTGTAGTATCAGTCACTGCTTGTCAAAAGTCTGGGTGCACATTTCCATCTTCTAGAATTTTATGGAATACATATATATATATATATATAGAGAGAGAGAGAGAGAGAGAGAGAGAGAGTGCTGTTAAATTTTTTGTTGTTTTGTACTTTTTTGCAGAATTTTAAAATGCCAGCTGTCCTTTATAACGTGCTGAAATTTTATCAAAAATCAAAAATATTTATCAAATATTTACATATTCAGAAATTCGGACTCCTCCATAGTTTAAACACCTGAAAGGTTTGGACGCTGACATCACAACAAAGGGAATATAATGTGTTGCCTTTGGCTTTATTCCCAAAATAGACTCTTAAAAAGGATAGTTCTTCAAGAGTTCTAGAGTCCTTTAGTAAAGACAGTGGTTCTATGTAGAACCATGAACACACTAAGAACCCTTTGGATGATAAAAGTGTTTGTTGCATCATAGAATGGTTCTTCAGATTGATAGAGAACGTGCTGTAGATAGGTCTATATAGAACCTTTTTGAAAAGAGTTCTATATATCACAAAAAAGGGTTCTTCTATTGTTACGATGTCCAGCCTGTAACACTAAAACAACACTTTTAGGTGCTATATAGAACTGTTTTCAGAAGGTTCTATATATAGATCTATATAAAACACATTCTCCATCAATCTGAAGATTGCTTCCATGATGAAAAAGACCCCTTTAATCATTGAAACGGTTCTTTGAGTGTTCATGGTTCTATATAGAACCATTTTTTTTACTAAAGAACCATGTTTTTAAGTGTGTAGGACTTTAATCAGATGTTCCTTCAAATGGCAAAATCTAAAATGCTGTCTGTTTAGTATGTTATGTCCTTTTTTGAACCTACAAGGGAAACAGGCCCAATCAGGGAACAGTGCAGTGCTGTCAGCAGAGCAGCGCTGCTTGGTGCAGTAATGGGTTAAGGGTCTTGGCTGAGAACACAACCAGATACGACCCATCAGTTCTGAGTTTTGAACCCACTATGTTGAGTCACTGCGAACCGAAAAATGTTCAGAGACCTTTGAAGGGCGACGTCTATGTGAGCTAACCTCCATCCTCTGTCATGCACACTGTCCCTTTCCTAATAACCCTCCTCCGTTTTCTCCCCCACTCATCTTCCCCAAAGAGCGAGCAGCTTGAGTTTAACGCCGACGCTCCGAAACACCCGTACAGAGGTTTACTGAAGGTACTATGGAACAGCATGCTGAGCTTCACCTTCCACAAAGTGCTGCGTTCAGTCTGGATCACACTGCGCTTTAGTGTAGATTTGTAGGAGGCTGATTGATATTTGGTTGGTGTGCTGTTCTGCTGTACTGCATGTGTGTCAGCTTCATCATTTGCTGATCAGGTTTATTTTTTGGTCTTGGTTTATTAGTTTATGTTGACATTGTGACTGTGATGGTCTGTCAGGGCTCTCGTCTTCCATAAGGCCCGACCGATATGAACAGTTTCATTCTGATAGACTGAATTTAAGGAATGACAAATTCTGATGAGTGAAAATATGATCCGTTGTAGTTATATGAGGTTAAAATGAACCCACTTAAAGACCCACTTCTCTGAAAACTGTTAATTTTATGGGTCACACTAAGGCCCAATCCCATTTCTTATTTTTACCCCTACCCCATGTTTTCGAGTGTCATCCTAACCCCTTGGAACAGAGTTACAGTGGGTAGTGTCTGAAATCTTCCCTCTGAAATGGGACCCTCAAATAAAAAGAGCAATTAACAGCTACTAGCGCTGCTCTGTAGGAGACCCTGCCAGTCTGCAGTGACAGCAGAGGAGGGTAAAGTTCAGCTCCTCACTGCTGGGCTTTAGTTACATTTAGGGCATCATATGCCTTCAAAGAGGGGGGCAATTATTTATTATCACCCACCCCTAATTCTTCAGTGATATGAAGCTGAAGTCAGATATTCACCAGCTTCTTGTTCGAATTTTCCTATTCCACCTTAAATGGAGCAGCAGCTACATTCAGGCGCTTCAGGCGTCAGAACATCATTTAAGGTGGAACAGGAAATTTAGCTAGCTGGCTACCAAGACATCAGCACTTCTACTAGCAATTTTTCTTGCTTGTTATGAAGAAAAAAGAGCATAATACATTGAAACAACATTAAACTAAGATAATACAATAATTTTCATAATTTCTAACGGAGAAAATTCTCTCACTTGTGTGTTTCTTTGGTCTCTTGTTCAGCCATCTGGCTGTTTTTTTTTCTTGTTTTCTCATAACTCTCTGTTTGGAGTCTGAAAAACCTCCGTTTGGAGGGTCATGTAGCCCTAACGCTTCACCCTCCCCCTCTATCTCAGCAAGAATCGGGACACCCTACCCCTAGACGTGAACGCACAAAACGGAGGGGTAGGGCTAAGTGGTCGGGGCGAGGGGTGAAATGGAATCGGGCCTGAGTCATACCACTCAATACCACCTTACCACAACCTTAATGAAGCAGGTTGATAGAAGTTTTGGTGATGTATTTTGACAGAAACGACTGTTTGGGTGACTATTGAGTTCAAGTGTTAGCAATGTTAGCTTCACTGCTCCAGTTAAGAACTAATACAGCTTAATTTGGACTCCAAACATGTTTTGGCTGATCGAGGACGTTTGGGCCAAGTGAAAAGTTGTGTGCATTTGGTTTTTCGCCGGACGGTTCCTCTGATGTTAGCTGATTTTATCGATTTAATCGGCCAAATGATTTATCGGACGGGCCCTAATTTTTGTCACCGCTCATTAGCTCGGCATGCGTCACCCATCCACCCACATACACGTTCACAGAAAGTGTTTTTACCATCTGTCCGTCTCCTTCGTCCATCTGCAGCTCTATTTCAGTGTAATACGTTAGAAAATAGATTTGATTCTTACTGCTAATTGGAATCTGTTCGTCTGCCAGCAGCAGTTTAGACCCTCGTGAGAGGAGTTCACCAGAAGAAAACTCGAACGTTACTGTTCTTCTTTGAGCATTATGCATGGCAGTGAATATGATCATAAAACAGCAGCGCTTTGGGAAATGGATTCCTCATTAACATTCAGCACGACTCACTAACATGACCAGACCTGCCTGCTCAGTGTCACTGAGCTGCGCCTGTGTGTTTGTGTGAACGTGAAGGTTTGGGATTGTGTGTTCAACCGTGCCTGTGAAACCTTATAATGTTCTGTTTATATTAGTATGTACAGTATTACATGCAAAAGTTTGGGCATCCCTGGTAAATTTACATGTCTTGTTGAGGTTCTAAGTAAAAATAAGTTATACATATTTTACAGAGAACTCACTGCTGTACATTTTAATACACTGTGTATTAAATGTGTGCCTTAAACTAGCGGGTGGAATTGGAGACGACTAAATTGGGGAGAAAATCGGGTAAAAATAAAAAAATAAAAAAATAAATAAAATAAAAAATGTGTGCCTTAACTTTTGCACAGGGCATATTTTATGTTGTTTTTTTTTAATTCAGCCAATTAACAGTGATTGTTCTCCGCAGAGGTTATGTTGACTTATTTACACTTAGAAAATCAACAAAGCATGTACATTTGATTAGGGGCGCCCACACTTTTGCAAACGACTGTACATATCAACTGGAAAGAATTTATGAAGATGTGATTATCTCTGTATTAATAATTAAGACTTAATTTTTCAAATATTTTTAGTCACAAGTCAATTTGTTTGTAGCAAAACAATGACAAAATCCAAATTTGTGAATAAAACTATGATGCTTAATTACAAACGTACTGTTGCTGTCTAAAAAAAACAAGTATCTCCAAAAAAGTATGTTTACCATGGAAGGCAAAAACTTTTAATGTAAGTTAATGTACAGAGATTTTATTCCATAGTCCATTCATCACACAATGTAAACGGAAGCTGCTGTGTTTATGTAGAAAACTGAAAATGAAGGAAAATGGAGATACTTGTTTTCTTTGAACACGATGAAGTGGATTCTGTTAGGTGTTCATACCAAAGATCATCACTTTAGACCAATCAGAATAAGTTCTGTGGCATCCCTCTAAGTGTAGTTGTTGAATATGAATGGGTTAAAAGTAATGTTAACAGCTGGTGTTTCAGTGGATGAAATCGTAGATGTGTTGTTTTGCAGTCTGGGAGGAAAGTGAACAGTGATCCGAGTCCATACGTTCAGTTAACGGTGGGACAGAAGACCTACGAGAGCAAGGTGAGTAAACGATCTGCCTCTTTGTCTACCCCCCACTAACTTACTTACTTCATTTGTGAAAATCGACCTGACGCTGAACGAACAGTACCCATCGGCATCTTTTACACACTAAAGCTGCACTATGTAAGATCTGGGGATTTGGAGACCTCTCTGGTGAAAATGTGTAATTGCACGTAGCGCATAGAAGAACATTTTGTAGCGTGAGTTGTGATCCGGCCTCCTTCCCTGAGCAGATAAATCTGACGACTGAAAGAGAATTCAAAGAGAACTCAGTCTAAACTTGGTGAAGGAGCGTCTCTGAGGATGTGAGTGAATTATCTACTATTGTCATCACATCTTCATCAGTATGATGTTGATTCTGAGATCATTTGAGACCTAAACATCGAAACGGATCTTCTTTTTGAGACTGTGTGCTAAAATTAGTACTAAAGATGTGCAAAGTGGTGTGAAAAACTCCCTCTGACTTCTAAATGATTATTTCAGGCTTTACAGGGCGACTCGCAGCAGCGCACACTCACCATGTTTTAGCCTGTTTTTATTCTCCTAACTCAGTAATGAACAAATTTTACATAGTGCAGCTTTAATTGCATGTTTGTCTTCATTTCATCATCCATATTTTTCAGATACAAACAAAAGCTATATATAGCGGTGGTTGGTATAGTGTAACACCTCTAGTGGGTAACACCTCTGCCTTCTATGCTGTAGACTGGGGTTCATTCCCCACCTGGGTGAGCACCCTACACTATACCAATAAGAGTCCTTGGGCAAGACTCCTAACACTACCATCTACCAAATAATGTAAATGTAATATACATTGTTTGTTGGCAACAAGTGTTCGATCATTGAAAGCTCAAGGTACAGTTATATGTAAAAGTTTGGGCGCCCTTGGTCTTGTTTTTTTTTTCTTAGTGTAAATAAGTGAACACATCCTCTACAGAGAACACACTTCTGCACTTTTTAATACACACTTACAGTTTATCTGCTGAATTTATATTGAAAAAAACATCAAATGTGGCTTATGGCACATTTATTTTTTCAAATATGTTAAAATCAGCAAAGAAATAAAAATTGAGCACTAAAGTTTGCTGAAAAATGATGGAGGTGAATTTAAGCTTTACTCTCGGTGATTTTCTATTAACCACACTGTTCTTTCCTCGGTTGTGCTGTAATTGGTGTTGCCGTGCTTTCAGGTGCGGTATAAGACGTGTGAGCCGCTGTGGGAGGAAGCGTTTTCATTCCTGGTTCATAACCCCCGCACTCAGGAACTGCAGGTGGAGGTACAGTATTACACACATAAACACACCATTCACTCCCCAATCCATACGGTCCATACATGGAAACTGACCTGCAAATACAGCCTGTTTTGAGTTCATCTTTTTGTGATGTCACTAGTCACTCAGCAATTTAGCACATACAGCAGTTTAGCTCCACCATTCAGTCTACAGCAGTTTAGCCCCACCATTCAGCTACAGCAGTTTAGCTCCACCATTCAGTCTACAGCAGTTTAGCTCCACCATTCAGCTACAGCAGTTTAGCTCCACCATTCAGCTACAGCAGTTTAGCTCCACCATTCAGCTACAGCAGTTTAGCTCCACCATTCAGTCTACAGCAGTTTAGCTCCACCATTCAGCTACAGCAGTTTAGCCCCTCCCATTCAGCTACAGCAGTTTAGCCCCACCATTCAGTCTACAGCAGTTTAGCTCCACCCATTCAGTCTACAGCAGTTTAGCCCCACCATTCAGTCTACAGCAGTTTAGCCCCACCCATTCAGCTACAGCAGTTTAGCTCCACCATTCAGTCTACAGCAGTTTCGCTCCACCATTCAGTCTACAGCAGTTTAGCTCCACCATTCAGCTACAGCAGTTTAGCCCCACCATTCAGCTACAGCAGTTTCGCTCCACCATTCAGTCTACAGCAGTTTAGCTCCACCATTCAGCTACAGCAGTTTAGCCCCACCATTCAGCTACAGCAGTTTAGCTCCACCATTCAGCTACAGCAGTTTAGCCGTCTACAGCAATGGCTAGTTTGATCACGGCTAAAAACAGGTGGAAATAAATGTTTTATCTCAAATAAGATTCTCAGTGAGAAAATTGTGTTTTTAACTGTATCTCTGCACTTGAAGTTGAATTTGCTTTCACAGCAATTAACGATCGGCTATTGTAATTGTTTCAGGTGAGGGATGATAAACACAAGTGCATGCTGGGTAGCGTGCGAGTGCCGCTGGCAGGTCTCCTAGCGGACGAGGAAATGACTCTGACTCAGCAGTTTCCCCTCTGCAACTCCGGCCCCAGCAGCAGCCTCAAACTGAAGCTGGCACTCAGGGTTAGATACATAATTTAATATGATAATGTTATATATAATACATATAGAATATGTACAGTATGCAGTGTTGAAAGACCAAACACCACCGTTCATTTATTTAATTTCCTGTCAAAACAGTCAGCTCTTCAACAGTTATTCACTTTTTCAGCACCAGGAATAAACAGCAGAAATAGATCTGATAGAAAATTACACAAAACCACAAAATACTGAGTTTCTCCACTCTTTACCTTTATTACAGCTTCCATTCTTTTCAGGAGACTCACTTTCAGTTTCTGAAGTAAATCTGCAGACATGCCTCCAAAGTTCAGTCTCAGAAGTTGGTTTAGTAATCCTAAACACATTCAGTGGTGTTGAGTCTGGACTCTGGGGTGGTCAGTCCATTGTTCAGCTTCTTTATCTGATGTGTCCGTCTCCTTTTCTCAGTGAGGGGCAGTTTTAGTGTCTACCAGGTCTTGCAGGTGGTTGTTAGGAGTCCCATTTTCTTTTTTAATCAATTTTTGAACTTTTGAAATTTTTCCTGTTTTTTCACTTATTTTCCTTTGACTTCTTTCCTTTCTCCTTCGTTATGCAAGAGGAATAACTTACATCTAATGTCCTCCTCAAAAATATCACCTGAAAAATTAATGACTTGTACTTCAATTAGGAATCAAATCAAATCACGTTTATTGTCACATCACATTTATACAGGTGTGAAGGTGAGAGAAAATCTTAGCCCCCTTGTAGTACTTAAATATACAAAAAAAAGCCATATATGTATATATATATATATATATATGTGTATATATATGTATATTTTATGTATAGATTATATATATATATATATATATATATAATCACTACTGTTGGAACAAATCTCCAAAATGGTAACTTACTTTACAGGAGAAGGAAAAAACCTATTTTACTTTTAATGTAAGTCAATGGATCCAGATGTTTTTCCAAGTAATTTTAGGCCATTTTTTTTGGTCCATTCATCATCAAATTTATAGACAATGTAAAGGACCACAGGTATTTTCAAATGATGTGAAAACTGAAAATATATATTAGTAATACATTAGTACATATATACACAATGCATATACACAGTATTAACATTAGGATACACCAGTATTGCACCATTCCAATGTACAGTTTTTGTCCAGTAATGTAAGTTATGAAATAACAGCTATAATATGTACAGTTGTACACACTTCCATATATGCACTTTGTGAGTTTGAGGTGGATAAATGATGCAGGGTACACAGGGGGTAGAATATTGATGTATAAATTCCAGATTATACAAGATGTTAACGGCTCTTTTCACTAAAACGTAATTAATGAACGGTGTAGTTTTTCACAGCACTGTATAATTAATATAAAAGCTGTTGCTGGCAGTAACTGCAACTCCAAAGGGTTAAGGATCCTGTTTGTGTGTGTCTGTATATGTATGCATTCACAGATTCTTTGCCTTGAAAAGGAGACCGCCTCCGGCCGGCCCTCTGCGGTCCAAATCCGACGCGCCAGCCAGTGCGTCTCCAGTGCGACCGCCCCGCCTCAATCCAGCACAGCAAACTCCGCCTCCACAACCACCACTCGCTCACACTCTGTACAAACACGCACACATACACCTCCCTCAGCCTCCGGCACCCCTTCCCCAGCTGCACCCCTCGGCGCCCCCCAGGGGCAGAGGGGCTCAGAGGGGTCTCCGGTGCGCCTGGCCCAGGCCGGTCGCAGCACCTCCAGTTCGGGTCTGAGCTGCCTGACGAGACAGCAGCAGAACCACAGAGACTCCATGCACAGCCTGGCCTCAGACACATCTCTACCCTCAGCAACGCTGGAGCTGCAGAACAGACTCACGCAGCTGCAGAAGTGAGTACAGTTACACACGTCAGTGTCGGTGTCACTGCTGTCGTTACCACTGGAAAATGTCCAGCCAGAAGCAGCTGCATTTACATTTACCTGTACAGCATTTGGCAGACACTCTTATCCAGAGCGACTTACAATTTGATCATTTTACACAGGCAGGTGAAGGCAGTGTTAGGAGTCTTGCCCAAGGACTCTTAGTGGTATAGTGTAGCGTGCCTAACCAGGAAGGGATTGAACCCCAGTCTAGCGTAGAAGGCAGAGGTGTTACACACTACGCTAAACCAACCACCTCTGAGGCGATGATGGGATTACTGATCAGGCCAGAGGGGCAGGGGCCTCAGGGACCTCTAATGGCTCCTTTGACTGCCAGAGTCTCAGGGGTCCTCTCACTGCCAGGTCCTTTAGGGGGCCTCTGACTGCCAGGAGTCTCAGGGGTTGTCTGACTTGTAGAAACCTCAGGGACCTCTGACTTTCAGGGACCTCAGGGGGTTTCTGATTGTCAGGGACCTCAGGGCACTTCTAACTGTCAGGGGCCTCTGACTGCCAGGACCTTTAGGTGGCAAAAAAGTCAGAGACCAGCGCAAATGCACCCTCTTTTTCTCTCTCATGGCTCAGTTGCCGTGTGGCTTCCCATTATGAGCAAGGCCTGGAGTGCATTCGAGGGAGGCCACGCTGGTGCCTTCTTGGGTCATCATGCGTACAGTTAAAAAAAGATTGAATGAAAAACCCACCTATTCAAATATTAATTGCTTATTGGAAAATAAATTAACTTTTAACGCGCTGGTTGAGCAGTTATGTATTTGTCGATCAATGGTTTATCGCCGAGATATTAACATCCCTGGTACGCATAGATAAAGTCAAGTATACTGCGGCCCCAAGACCAAGCCGTCAGGTGTACTCTGTCCTGTTGATGACTCTCTCTCTCGCTCTCTCTCTCTCTCTCTCTCTCAGTGGTTCAGCTTCTGCGCAGTATCCTCTCGGGTGAAGTGCAGCTGACCATCAGACACAGCTCTCACCGGAACAAACTCATCGTGGTGGTCCACGCCTGCCGGTCAGAACAAACACTCACTATCAGGGCATAAATATATCGTAAATCTACATCTGGGGTCATAAATATAGCGCAAATACTCTCAGCTACGATGTGATGGAGCTCCATTATAGGTGTTTATACGCGTCTTTCTGCAGCAACCTCATAGCTCTGGGGAAGGACAGCTCGGACCCCTACATCCGCCTCTACCTGCTACCAGACAAGAGCCGGAGCGGACGCAGGAAAACCAGCACCATGAGGAAAACCCTCAACCCCATCTACGACCAGTCGTAAGAGTACAAATACTTCTGCTCAGACGCTACTGCTCAAAATATCAGTATCGCTGTTTTCAATAACACAGCACCAATGTGGGCACAGATAAATGTATAAACTATGTAGAGGAGACACCTGGGAACTATGATTTCTGTGGAACTACGAATAGATTTAAAATAATTTCCATGCCTGTTGTATTCAGACTCTGCAGGTATCTCAGTAATCAGGATATTTATCTACTCTTATTAATTACCAACATCATTATGAACTGACAGAGGAATCAACCAATCACGTTTTGATTTACAGTGAGACCAACTTAGTGAGAAGAAACATCATTCTAGACCAGAGGTCTTCAAATCCAGACTTTGAATCCAGTTTGTAATCACTGGTACTTTATTGAGCTGTTGATATAACTGATTGGCCACCTGTGGCCGGTTGCGCCAGCTGTGCGTAGGTTCAAACATAGATTAGGTGTAACGTAAGTGTTTACTAAGTTCAGGTTTATGCATTACTAAATCAGATTGTGTTGCAGTAAGCTAGTTTTAATGGTGAGGTAAGTAGTTACTAAGGCCCAATCCCATTTCACCCCTCGCCCCTACCACTTAGCTGATTTTTGTTGAGATAGAGGGGTAGGGTGAAGTGTCAGGGCTACATGACCCTCCAAACAGAGGATTTTAAGAGACTCCAAACAGTGCTATGAGAAAAAAAGAAAAACTGGCAAGAAACCAAAGAAGCCCACAAATGTGAGAGTTTTCTCATTCAAAAAATTACGAAAAGCAATTGTATTTTCATGTTTAATGTCATTTCAATGTATTCTGATCCTTTTCTTCATAACAAGCATAGAAAATTGCTAATTGTGTGCTAATGTGTCGGTAGCTAGCTAAATTTCCCGTTCCACCTTAAATAGTCCAGCAGTACTGATGTCTAATGTGCTAGAATGTAACTGCTGCACCAGTTAAGGTGAAACAGGAAATTCTAAATAGAAGCTGGAGAATATCTGACTTCAGCTTCATATCACTGAAGAATTATGGGTGGGTGATAATAAATAATTGCCCCCCTCTTTGAAGCCCAGCAGTGAGGAGCTGAACTTTACCCTCCTCTGCTGTCACTGCAGACTGGCAGTGTCGCCTGCAGAGCAGCGCTGGTAGCTGTTAATGAAGTGATGCTCTTTTAATTTGAGGGTCTCATTTCAGAGGGAAGATTTCAGACACCACCCCTTGTAACTCAGTTCCAAGGGGCAAAGTGACACTCCAAAAACATGGGGTAGGGGTAAAAGTAAGAAATGGGATTGGGCCTAAATATTTAGTGGGTGAAAGTGCTGGGAAAACAAGTAGAAACCAAATAGAGAGCACAAAAAGACCAAAAGCATGACTTTGGTAATTAAGCTAAAAGCTCTAAACACTATATGCTGTGATTTTACTTACAGCTCTAACCATCACTAAACACCCACAGCTCCAGCTCAGTGAGACTCAGCAGCTGCACAAACGGATAAACTGAGGCTGCTATTAAGTCGGTCAGCCAGAAACCGTCATCTAAAAAGCAGCATGTTTGGTTTGTCAGGGAAATATTAAAGAATAAACAGACAGCGGCTGTAGATAATTGATTTTATTCAGTGTAACTTTTACACATCACTCTCTTTTATGCTGGATATTTTTTTCTATTGAAAAAGTCAAAGGAGGCTGCTGTGTTTCCATGGCAGCGGGTTTACTGATTCTGAATGTTATCATCATGTTAAAGTGACATGTTCATTAGTTAGTTGTTACTAGTTATACAACAGTTAGTTTCGGCCACGCAAGCTGATTGGTTGAGAGGTGTTCTAACTGTGCTGTTATTTCACCATAACATCACAGGTTTTTCACAAACGCTGTATCACTCCGCTGAGACGCCGTTGCTAAGCAACAACTTTGACAGCTGTAGGAGACGCTCAGGACATTTGAACGTTTTTACTTCTTACTTTGCCACAAACAGAAAATGGACACTTTTAAGATCACATCTGACCGACAGCCGATTTGGTCAGACTCTGAAGATGAGACGACACTAAATTCCCAAACTGTCATCACCACTGAGCAGCTTTTCAGTCGGCAGCTGAGACAGAAGAACAGCTAAACAACCTGGAATCAGCCAGAAATGAACCGAACACCATTCGCCAAACTAAATGGGCTGTAAGATGCTTTACAGACTGACTGGAGCAAAACAACATTAATACTGATCTGGCAAAAACTGACAAAACTGAGCTGAACTTGATATTGCGGCAGTTTTATGGCTCAGTCTGTACTTCAAAAGGTGAGGCTTACAGCAGACTGTGCAGCGAGTGGGCGGAGCTCGTTACTCTGATGTAGCAACAAGCTGCTCGTTAAGGAACTATAATTTGGCGGAAGGAACTGCAAACATTAAAACATATTAAATTAGTTTATTAATTAAATCAGTTTATTAATATATCACTTTATTTATTTAACTGTTGTATAAAAGCAACAGAACACTCAAGGAGTGTGTTATCACCAATAACATCACGGCTGTGATGATCTATGGTGACCAAATCACAGCTGTGATATTATTCGATATCACAATAACACACTCCCTCTCGTGTTCTGTTGCTTAATTAAGACACAACTTACGGATTTGTGGTGCGACCAAATTTAGTAAAAGGATAGTTTGAGACTAACTAGTGTAACTAAGGACTCAGTAAAGACTTTATGCCCAAACTTAAGTATAAACGTATGCAGAACTGGTGTCGTTCCTACCAGTGATTACAAAACCCAGGTCTGGAAACAGGATTCAAGGTCCAGATTTGAAGATCTCTGCTCTAGGCCTTCTAGAAGTTCTAGATATGTCACTGTCTGTGAATACGAGCTGAAGTATAACCAGGCTTCGGTTGGTTGTTAGGAATGGAACACAGCGGCGGCAGCTCTGTGTCAGAACTCTATATAATAAATAAACAAATGCCGTTCTTTTACAAGTTTCTAACGTCTGTGTTTAAGCTAGAACAGACAAAAAATGTTAATGAGAATCTCTGTTAGCTTAGCGCTAACACACAAATAGAACTTCATAGGGGTGCTAGCAGAGGTTAGCATCATCGTAGAGGTGTTTTTTCCTCGTTTTTGACATTCATGGCCCAAACCGAAGACTTACCTCATATAGTTATGCTTCTCCACTGCTAATCTGTCTCTAGTACTCTAAAAGCTGCACTCTTAAAAAAGATGGTTCTTCAAGGGTTCTTTAGTAGAGAAAATGGTTCTATATAGAACTATGAACACTTGAAGAACCATGTGCAGTAGATGGTTCTATATCGAATCTTTTTAAAAAGGGTTCTATTTAGCACCAACATGGCTCTTCTATTGTTCTGTTGTCCAGCTTGTAACAACAGAAGAACCATGTTTGGTGCTATATAGAACCCTTTTCAAAAAGGTTGTATATAGAATCATCTACTCCACATTCTGAAGAACCCTTTCACGATGCAAAGAACCCTTTAATCATGTGAAGGGTTCTTTGAGTGTTCATAGTTCTATATAGAACCATTTTCTCTACTAAAGAACCCTTGAAGAACCATCTTTTCTGTAGACACATTTGATATAATTAGTAGGGCACTGTAAAAAATAAAAATGAAGGA